CCTGATATAATTAAACATACATATTCATTGTAGATTCTTATATATAAATGTCTTTAGTCATGATTAGATCTAACGGTATTAAACAGGTTTTAATATAATTATATATTATATAGAGATGCTTGCTCTTTTATAGCACAAAATTATTAGCATATGTAAGCAAATTTTTTTAGGAGCGATCTCAAATTCGGATTTAAATCCTTACCTAAAAATATGAAAGTGACTGAACTGTGAGTTTCAAAGTCAAGATATATTTTTTTTTTTTTTTTTTTTTTTTTTTTTTTTTTTTTTTTTTTTTTGTTAAGAAGAAAACAAATTTGATATTAACCAAAATTTTTACGTATTAAGTAAAGATTACTAGTTTTCCTCACTTCAATCATATATATGTTTTTGGAAATTTACGTTGAGCTAAAAACCCATGGGCCATCACTTAGTTATACCAAAGCCCATTGATAGAATCCACCAAGCCCATGACCCATTATGTAAAGCCATCTTGTATTATATATATTAGGATCACAAATACCATAATTTTCTAAGTCAATAATAGTTTTGAAAGGAAACAGTTTGAGAAATGCAAATAAATATATTGTCGTATATTTATCCAAAAAAAAATTTCTATTGGTGTATATATAATGTTCTCCTTCTATTAAATTAAAAAAAAAAATTATTTATATATCAAATCGGAAATTAAATCAATTATGAATGAAAATACTAGTAAAAACTTTACAAGACCTAGGTCTGAATCTCTGGATATATAAATTTTAGAAACAAGATTTGAGATAATTTAGCTTAGAAAATTTGAGTTGGTTTCTCTAAAAATAGATCTATTGGCACCTCATTAATGGACTAAAGAAACCACCACTTTTTAATAAATTTTATAATGAGAAATTCATCCTTATATTAATTATTCAAATCAACTATAATTTTCTATTTTTTACTTTTGACACCCCACTATTATCTCATAAACCCAATTTTTTTTTTATGCTATTCAAATCATTTTAGGACAATAAAGATAGTTTTAATGGAAATAAAGAAGATTTGCAATGAGATATATCAGATTATAAGTAATACAAAATATTATTGCTATTTTTTTCTTCAAAGTATTGGTAGTTATCTTAATTTATATATTTTTTGTGTTGTTTAATTGTATCATGTTCTTGAGATTATTTGTAAAGATTGTATTTAGCTTTACTTTTTTCTGAACTTTCAATTTAATTATCTAAAAAATTATTTTAGAAATAACAATGGTAGGAGTATATAGCACAAGTGAAAGGAATGAGTCATTAACTTTTTTAAAATATAAAACAATAATAATAATGAATGAATGAATGAAGGGTATTTATGAGGTGCCATGAAAAAAATTATTTTCTTACTTTGAAATTGGATGTCTTAAAGACATGAGGTTTTTTTAGTTTACTAGTGAATTACCAATAGCTCCATTTTTTCCGTAAACTTGGAAGTAGAATAAGGTTATTCAGGGAGCTCAAAATGAAGGCCGAAAAGAAAAAAATAAAAAAAGTTGGTGTAAAAGTTAACAATAATACTAACCTAACAAACCCCTCTTACTAACTCTATGTGGGAGTTTGTGATTTGTTTGATCAGACAAGACCTATGTGAATTAACGAATTGTGAACTGACATGTGGTGTTTATGAGAGAAAGTTAATGAAAAGTGTTTGTGAGTATAGTGTTGCTCAAAAGTAAATGTCTAGGAAAAAGAATCCAGCTAAGCATGAGCTGATTTTAGCAATTATAGTTTGAATTTTTGTAGTTTTACTTTCAAGCTATTAAAGGCTATAAATTTTTTTTGTAATTTTTCCTTCAAGGTCTAAAAGGCTATAAAAGGAGGTCAAAGAAGGTCTTCTTGTAATTGAAAAGGGACTATTTCTTTTTTTCTTTTTTTAATCTAATTATTCTCTAACTAATATGTTTTGATATTAATTTTGTTATTTTCGTGTTTATATAGAATTACTAATTGGATTTAAGTTATAAGATATTATTTTAATCCAATGAGATGAATATAACGATATTCAAGAATCGTCATGATGAAATTATCAAGATATTCTAAATAGAGAATTACTTTGTGAGTGTTACTACATGTATAAATTAATGCATACAAATTGATAAAACATTAACCTTTGATTGACACATTATTTATATATATTTATTAAACATTTAATGAGTTGATTTTATACATACATTCACTCATTCCGTTAATGATACATATGTTTGTATAGAAGAACTTAAATGATTAGTAATATTCTTTGCTTTAATACATTTTTTTTTTTTTTTTTGGCCCATCGGATTATATAAATTATTTAGGCATAAATTNAGAAATAAAGAAGATTTGCAATGAGATATATCAGATTATAAGTAATACAAAATATTATTGCTATTTTTTTGTTCAAAGTATTGGTAGTTATCTTAATTTATATAGTTTTTGTGTTGTTTAACTGTATCATGTTCTTGGGATTATTTATAAGGATTGTATTTAGCTTTACTTTTTTCTAAACTTTCGATTTAATTATCTAAAAATTTATTTTAGAAATAACGATGGTAGGAATATATAGTACAAGTGAAAGGAATGAGTCATTAACTCTTTTAAAATATAAAACAATAATAATAATAATAACGAATGAATAAATGAAGGGTATTTATGAGGTGACATGAAAAAAATTATTTTCATACTTTGAAATTGGATGTCTTAAAGATATGAGGTTTTTTTAGTTTGCTAGTCAAGTACCAATAGTTCCATTTTTTCCGTAAACTTGGAAGTAGAATAAGCTGTAAAAATGAATGAATGAAAGGTATTTATGAGCCCAAAATGAAGGCCGAAAAGAAAAAAAATAAAAAAAGTTGGTGTAAAGGTTAATGTCTAGGAAAAAGAATCCAGCTAAGCATGAGCTGACTTTAGCAATTGTAGTTTGAATTTTTGTAGTTTTACTTTCAAGCTCTAAATGGCTCTAATTTTCTTTTTTTCTTTTTTTTTCTTTTTTTTTGTAATTTTGTAAAAGGAGGTTTTAGAAGGTCTTGTGCAATTGAAATGGGACTTTTTCTTTTTTTCTTTTTTTTAATCTAATTATTCTCTAACTAATATATTTTGATATTAATTTTGTTATTATCATGTTTATATACAATTGCCAATTTGATTTAAGTTATAAGATATTATTTTAATCCAATGAGATGAATATAACGATATTCAAGAATAATTATGATAAAATTATCAGGATATTCTAAGTAGAGAATTCTACATGTATAAATTAATGCATACAAATTGATCAAACATTAATCTTTAATTGACACATTGTTTATATATATTTATTAAACATTTAATGAGTTGATTTTATACATACATTCATTCATTCCGTTTATAATACATATGTTTGTATAGAATAACTTAAATGATTAGTAATATTCTTTGCTTTAATACATTTTTTTTTTTTTTTTTGGCCCATCGGATTATATAAATTATTTAGGCATAAATTATAGTAAAAGAAATTTTTTTTTTTTTTTTAAAAAACTAACCCTCGGATGATCAAGTGGTTTGATAAGGACTATTGAATGTATTATTCAAAAGATCTTAAGTTCAAATCTCTTTTCAATTGCAAATAGGAGTAGTCACCAAAACTCTTATCTGACCAGTTTTGAGAAATTAATTGAGATGCACATAAAAAAAAAAATAACTTGTCTATATCGAGAAAAAAAAAAAAAAAACTTTCTAGTCTCTCGGCTTTATTGTCCAAATTCTTTGGCCGCCCAAGCTTCGGCATTCACATAAATAAATTTCACAAAAATGTGCGGTCCATATGGACCATATCAAAAGCTGGTTATTTCTTACCATTTATGGGCATGGATCCTTATATGCTAGTTATCTATATTTAACTTTATATTATATTATATTATATTATATTTAATTATATAAATATATATGGTTAGAAATTAATAATCAAGTAATTAAAATTTTAAATTGAGTATAATCGCCCTTTATACTTAAAACTACGTTGTATATGATTTAGATTCGTCTCTCTTAACATGATATTTATTTTTAAAATTTTAATTTTACTATTCTCAAAAATATGGATTAAAAGTGACTCTCACCAACATTTGTGGTAGAGAAAGGCACGGGATTTTGTTTGTTTTCAAAGTAGATGATGTTTCCATTTGTTTGTTTTCAAGTAGATGTTGAGTTTTTTTCATACGCTCAAGAGAGATAATTAAGTTGAAAACGTCTATTAATTATTTAATTTATTTTTAAATATATTGTGGTTTAGGGGATTTTTTTTCTTTCTAAATGATTTATAGGGTTTTATAATATTTTTCAGGATGTCTAATACCACTAGAGCATTTTTTACTTAGCTATTTTTCAACATCAAATGAAATTAACCAATAAATTCACAAGAAATGATTAATTTTTTGCCGGCAAAAATAATTATTATGTAGCATAATACACTACTGTTAATGGAGGGTTTATTTTATTTCCATCTTATGAGATAGGAGTGTAAACAAGCTGAACCGATCAAAGTTTTAGGCTAATTGAACTCGGCTCGTTTACTAAAGTGTCAAGCTCAAGCTTAACAATAAAAATTCGAGTTCAAACTCGAGCTTAAGATTGGAAATTTGAGTTCAAGCTCGAACTCACCAAAAAAACTCTCCAGTTTTTTGTTTTTTTGCTTTTCCAATTGATCTTTTCGAGCCCAAACTCAAGTCAAACTAAGTCGAGTTGAAATCTGATTGGCTCAAACTCGGCTCGATTGACACCCTTACTATGAGATCGTTTAATACTAAATTCATCCATTTCGTTAGGAAAATATTAAAAATCTCTCAATAATTAACTAAACTTTTCTAGTATTTCTACAAAATATCAAAAACCCTCTTAAAAATATCAAACACGCCCTTACAAAATAACGATTTTTTTAATACTTTTTTAAAAAGAAAATAAATAATCCCATTAATTTAGTTAACCCAATTGAATAAAAATTAGCATAATTATAAGACACACATGTGATTAAGCCAATAAAAGGATGACAATAATTCATTAATTTATTCAAAATCTTTCCAAAATTTTAAAACAAAAACCGAAATTAAACTTTAATTAATTCTAATTAATTCAATAATGAAACACATAAACATTATATTCCACAACAGCATCGCCAGACTTCAAGTCAAAAGTATGAGTCTTCGCCTGAGCATAGCCGGAAGCAAACCGGAAAAGCCCCGTCCCGCCGACGATCGGCAACTCCCTCACGGTATTGAACACGGCGTTGCGGCCAAGAACACTGAGAGTACTGCCGTTATACTTACCGTGAGTGAATGCAAAATTCATCACCATCAACAATGCGGTCTCGCTTTGAGAAGCCGAAGAGTAAATGCCCTGCGCTCTCCCCACCGGGGTGGAGCTGGGTTCCGGCTGCATCGTCAAAGGGTCGTCCATCATGACCAGGACGCCGAAGAGGGTGGGGGATTTGTTGGTCATGGCGGCCTGGGCGACGCGAACGGCGGTGGGGTTTTTGCCGCCGACAATGTCGTGGAAATAGAAGTGGAGGTGGCTGAGCTTTTGCTTTTTGAGGCCAAGGGATTTTGGGAGAGGGTTTTGGAGAAGTTGTGTTGGATTTGCAGAGGTTAGGGTGGTGGAGAGGAGGATTATGAGAAGAATTGGGATGAGTTTTGGGAGGGTGGTGGTGGCAGCGGCGGCGACGGTGGCCATGGCTTTTGGAGGGTAAAGTTAAAGAATTAAATGGAGTCTATAATGGTGATATTTTTGTTTTTCTGTATACGTGAACATTTATATTGGATTTTGGAAATTAGCAAGCGGCGCACGCGCGCGCACACACACATATATATATATATTATATATATATATATATTAATATATATATATTATATATATATATATAATAGATCAGTTCATAATTTAACGAATTTTCTTTCCACGTTCTTGACGTGACTGTTAGTAATTGAGTAAATAAGACCCATAACGAACAGACAAAACTTATTTACAAGTTAATCAATTACTAACTTAATGATAAATCATTTTCCTTTAATTTGCACGTTAAAAACTTCATATATTATGGTTAACATGAAAATTCTTAACTCTAAATATTTAAAAAAAATTAATCGTGTGAGTAAAAAAACAAGTTGTGGTTGTTTGATTTTTTATTTTTAAGTTAATGGCCAATATTTATCTTTGGATAAGTAAAACTATACTGACAAACACTTTTCACTAACTTTCTTTCACAAACGCCACCTAACAGTTCGCAATTGTTTAACTTGCAATAGATTTTGTTTGACCAATTATGAACTGTTATGTCATATTTGTGAGAGAAAGATAGCGAAAAAAGTTTATCAATTTTTTTTTCTTATTTACCTTTAATCTATACAGTAAAAGCTTTGTATATTATCAAGTTATTCTAGATATTTAATAATAAATAGTTGCTAAGTCAATAGTGACTGAATTTTTAGTCAAAATGTTAAATACTCCTATTATTAAGATCTTTTTTTTCATTATATGATAATAATAAACTATATAAACGGAGTGGGTTGGTTTGATTTGATATGTTTAGTTTGAAATTTGTGAGACTTTTTTTTGTCAACGAGAGCCAGAAATCAGAAATCACATGTTCTAATAATGCTAACTTAACAGAAAATTCTGGCATGTACTTTTTGTAATTGAATATTGGGTAAACGACTTTTTCCAACCCAAGGTTTACCTTAATAACACTTTTCACTAAAAAAGTTTTAAAATGCTATTTTTGCATCCAAAATTTATATTCTATTACTATCCAAAGTCAATTATAGCCGATTACGGTAGCAAAAATTCTCTCTATCACCACCATTTGAACCTCTGATTTCCTATCTATAAAACTCATTTTACTTTGATACTTGATCTCTCTATTCTTAGCTGATTTTCGACTGATTTTAGGGATGAATATTTAATTGGTCACCACCATTTGATCCATCGACCTCTATTCCACAAAACCCCTCTCACTCTGGCTCTTGGTAGCTCGCAGAACGTTGGTTACAAAAGTAAAGTGTATTTAGGTATTAACGGAATATAAACTTTAGGTGGGAAAGTGGTATTTTGAAACTTTTGGATGAAAAAGTATCATTAAGACAAACATTGGGTGGGAAAAAGTTGTTTACTCTTGAATATTAGGGTTGACTTCCCTGAAATATGATATAATAATAAAATCTTTATGAAAATTTTGAAATAAAAAAAAAATTTCATTGTTAATAAACTGTTATTGAGCCGTTCAAATTAATTATGTTATAAGTTGGAAAATATTATCAAATTGCTCTCCTATTGTTTATTTTAACAATTAAAACTTAATAATATAGAGATTTATGGTGTTATTTTTACATTTTTTTAGTTATATTCATGATTTTTATTTTTATTTTTTGACAACAAATATGAGAAGTAAACAAGTATTACATATTTTTTGAAAGATTTATAAATCAACCGTCTAGAAAGAAAAGTAATAAAGGGCATAGCAAAATGTCCCACCAACCCTAGAATCAATGTTAGATTTTTCCAATTCGAAGTAGTCAACACGGTTTGCTTTTACTTTTATGAAAAATTAAATTTTATTCCTGTAATTGAATGCTACTTTTGCATTAGCCAATTGTTTTGGCTGATCCAAAGAAGTGGGGATTATAGGGGAGAAAAGTAAAGATTTGTGTCACACGAGACAATTATGACACTGTAGAAGACTTTGCTTTAAAACAAAAAAAAAAAAAAAAAAAATTAATTAATTGAGATCGTGAATAAGGACTAAACCAATTAAGAAATAATATATACAATTAATGGATCCATAAAGGTTAACAACTAGTAGTTGGCTTTTGGTTCTCACCTTTAATGAATTTAGATCTTGTGGAACAATATCGAATATTTGACAATATATTTCATACCTGACAANGTCAACACGGTTTGCTTTTACTTTTATGAAAAATTAAATTTTATTCCTGTAATTGAATGCTACTTTTGCATTAGCCAATTGTTTTGGCTGATCCAAAGAAGTGGGGATTATAGGGGAGAAAAGTAAAGATTTGTGTCACACGAGACAATTATGACACTGTAGAAGACTTTGCTTTAAAACAAAAAAAAAAAAAAAAAAAATTAATTAATTGAGATCGTGAATAAGGACTAAACCAATTAAGAAATAATATATAAAATTAATGGATCCATAAAGGTTAACAACTAGTAGTTGGCTTTTGGTTCTCACCTTAAATGAATTTAGATCTTGTGGAACAATATCGAATATTTGACAATATATTTCATACCTGACAAAAAAAATATTTGGTACATTGTCTAACAAAATCCAACTCTCTCTTAATATATTCTTCAAAAATTTTGGTTCACTTTGACGCTAAACCTAATGCAAGGTCCTGAAATTGAAGTTCTTATAATATGCGAATATAGTCATGCGTCGGTGATTTATTTGCATTACTTTGACATAGATTGCATCCGAATATAAAGAGTACGCTGATGCATTTTACACGTAACTAATGAAGAGATCTTGACGAAATTATCACATAAGATATCCTTAATAAAACTCTTATGGTCGATTTTGCAAATCTCAATAATTTTTTCTTCTCTATTACAACAAATAAATGACCCTGAACGTGCCCAATTGTAGAAATTAAGGCACTAGGTGGTCGACCTCTATAATATAAGTCCTGAGTGGTCTAAAAGTTGGAATTAAATAGATTTTCCCTATTGCAAATTGGTTAAAACTAAGTTCCCACTTAAAAGACTTGTGTCACTATGCAGTAAAAATGACATAATGTTTTTATTAAAATGTGTCGATGACATTGACCTGATATTTATGAAATAACAAAAATTTTCATACAAATTTTGAAATATCAATAATCAATTCCTCAATTGTTACATTTTAGACGTTTAAATAAATAGTAGAAATATAATTCAGTAAAATAACTCACTAATGATATAGAAATTTTTATATACAGACTAAAATCTCTTTCATTAATCCATTTTTGTATCAATGTATAAATGCTCTTCCTAAGTTGGGATCAATACAATTCTTTCTCTTGTTGGTTAAATGGTTAGACATAGAATGAACCTATTGATATTTAAGAAAAATAATAATATGAAAGAATATTTCTTGACCATATATAGGGAACTAATAAATACAAGCATGTTATAATATCAATTAAAATTCAATCACTCTACTCAATTAAAATTGATTATTGTATATAAGTTTAATTTAAAAAATAATAATTTTGATTTGGAAGAAGAAGAAGAAGAAGAAGAAGAAAGAAGACACTTCTCTATAACTTATAGACTGGGAGAAAGTAAAGAAAAACTAAAGTCAATGGACTCAAAATTTGTGATTTGGGAGACAAATATGACTCAAATTTCAAATCATGTCACCAAGAACTTTTGTCTTTCTTCTTTTCACTCTATTCTCTAAGTCATATATTACTGGGTTAATTTTCTAATCTCATTAACGTCCGCGAAATCTCAAACACCCAATAATTTTAATAAATTATTATTCAAAAATATTTTTTAAAAACTATAATACAATTCAATTTTTTAGTTGTATCTTAATGTTGTTAATTTTTAAAAATATGTTAATATAATATTTAAAAATTGTTGTCAAATTAAAAGCTATAGAAAATTATGAAACCAACATTTAATCGTTTAATTTTACACTAGTTTCTATCATTGTATTCAAAAACTGTTTTTTTTTTTTTTTACAATAATTCGACTCATTTCTACCAAAGATAAACATTTTTTAAAAGATTTATTGGATCTTTTGTTTTTAAAAACAAAAAACTAACTGTATTTAGATTTACATATACTTTACTTGAAGGTTTTTGTATTTTTTACGATTAATTTTTTTTTTAAGGTTTTTAATTCTCTTATCAAATAATAGTTTTAATTCTATTTCTTCAACAATTTTTTCTAAAATTCACGATACACTCTATTTTCTCTTGTTTTATTATTAGTTTATTTTCGTTCTTACTTTTCTAACCTGGCAATAGCATAGGGTATAGACGCTAGTATAGAAACGTGTAAAATACGTACTACAAAATAAAGTCAAATAGTCAACTAAGAAAAGCAAAAAAAGAGGAAAAAATTTGTGGCCCTCGTGAATTTAAAAGTGTTCACCAGTCAATTCTAAGGGTGACCAATAAGAAGGAGAAATAAAAGAGAAATTAATGTATTAAGACAAGACTATGGACCCTTGAATTAAGACAGACAAATAATGTTACTGTGTGACTAGCATACATGCATTGTTATTTTTATTTTAACAAAAATATAATCAATATTTTATAAATAAAGGTACGTGCTGTGCAAAGTGTTTTTACCACTCCCTTGACCGAGTTAGATGGTTTGATCGATAATGTCACGTTGAGTCAATATGAGTATAAATTTTAAAGTTTAATAATTAATAAATTTCATAATAATGTTATGGTTCAATGTCATGCTTAATCACAGTTTTCTAACTGCGTTAAATTGGGTAACACTGTTTTTGTTTCAACCTCGATCAATCAATCTAATGACTAAAATGGGTTTTAGTCATTCGATGGACGAATTAGATCGATTCTCGATCAGACAGATTAGTCTGTTCGGTTTTTTTGTTAGGATTATTTTAGAATTAGGATAAGTGTGTTAAGTATTTTATTATTATCTTATTAGTAGAATTAGGTTATCTTATTATCCCTTTATAATTAAAATCCTTTTGGGACTATTATCCTTTTACAATTAGAGTCCTTTTGAGATCAATAGAGTCAAGTGTAAGGCTAATAATAGCCTAAATCTAGATTGTGGTAATCAATAAAGAATTTGTCAACAATCTTTCTATCTCTTGTTCTTGGAGGTCCATGTTCCTCATATAAACAATTATATCCAAACCCTATCATTGGTGCTCTCGTTCCCTAGTATGGCTGAAGGCACTCGCTTGCATCTTTTGGATGAGCAGCTTGCTAAAATTATGGCTCTACAATCTGCCCAGGCAGAGACTCTCACTTCTTTAACAGAGAAATTGGAAGTTTTGACAGGTGTTTTTCAAGATGTCACTTTGCAGATTTCACTCTAAACAATAAGTTCGATCAAGCCTGCCAGCAAAACCAACAACAAAACAACATTCTGATGAATCATCTCAGATTTGACTAGGCGAGATGATCGACTTCCAAGAGTGTTTCTCCCAAGTCATTCCGTTTAGAAGTCCCTCGTTTTGATGGCACGAATCCACGTGGATGGGGTTAAAGCCGAGCAATTCTTTGATTACCATAATATTTCTACTGAGCAACGTTGACGATCTCTTCCTTCCACATGGATGGGCCAGCTCTCTCCTGGTATCGCTGGATGCATTCCAATGGGCAGATCCGTTCTTGGCATTCTTTCCTACAGGATTTAGATGTTCGTTTTGGGCCTTCGGAATTTGTGGATTACCAAGGGCAGTTGGCGAAACTTACTCAAACAGGTTCTATAGTTGCTTATCAAACAGAATTGAGGAACTCTCTAATCAAGTTTCTCTGGCCTTCCAGGTACTTTCCTTCTATTGCTTTGTATCAGGGCTCAAACCAAATGAAACGGGAGTGCAGTCCTTTCGGCCTCACACCCTCAACCATGCCATGAGTCTTGCTCACTTACAGGAGGATAAGCTACATGATTTACAACTATACTTGCATTCTGTCGACCCCGTATCTTGCAATCCTAGTAAATCAACTCCTAATGTTCCTTCAGTGCAGCAGGCCCTTTTGCCTACTCCAACAAATCGGATTCCTTGCCTGTTAAGCGACTCACAGCAACACAAATGCAAGAACGACGCAACAAAGGTTTGTGCTATAATTGCGATGAGCGCTTTCACCCTGGGCATCGCGCACAGCCAAGTTCTTTCTCTTGCTAATGGAGGAAGATGATGATAAGCACGAGGATGAACCGGGATAATTGCTATTGATGGTGTCGTACCTTGCAACCTTGAGACAAGTTTGAGGCGAAGGGGAAGGCAATGTTGTATTATTTTAGAATTGGATAAGTGTGTTAAGTATTTTTATTATCTTATTATGATAGAATTGGGTTATCTTATTATCCCTTTATAATTAAAATCTTTTTGGGACTTATTATCCTTTTACAATTAGAGTCCTTTTGAGAGTCAATAGTCAAGTGTAAGGCTAATAATAGCCTAAATATAGATTGTGGTAATCATAAAGAATTTTGTCACTAATCTTTCTATCTCTTGTTCTTGGAGGTCCCTGTTCCTCATTAAACAGATTTATTCCCAAACCCTATCTGTTTTAAAGCCATGTTCATGAGTAAATACATTAATTTGTTGAATCAATGAATGATGTAGTACCTCTAGTTAAAACTTTTTGTAATTCAGGAAACCAGATGCTCATATTTAAATTTGGAAGGTTCCATCTCATCCTCATTTGTACCCGTTCCAAGGAACAAATTGCCATCCCTGATACTTAGAGTAACTAAAATTAGACTTAATTAATTTCTAGATTTCATATTTATTTTTAGAATTAATATATTAATAACTAAATCATAAGGATATATTGGTGAATTCAGAAATCCTCCTCGATATCAAAGATTGGTTTTTATATTAATTGCATTTATTCTTAATTTACATACTTTAATATTTCCATTATTGGCCTAGTATAATTTACTTTAAAAAATTGATTTCCAAAGTTAGAAATTAATTTAATTTAGGTTTAAATTAATTAAACTATCATTAAATCAGCCTCTTCAACTTGGTCAGCATAATAGAAATTAAAGTATAACCAAATCCATATACATAAATTGATCTAATAAATTAATAATTATAAGATATTTTAGATTATATTATCATTAATTTATATCTACAGGTGCTCATAATTTATTATATAAATCATAAAATTATAATCATATATTTCAAGTAATAATCACAGATATATAAAAAAAATATCAGAACAAAAACTTGAAATTTATTTATACATTTTTTGATATTGGATAAAAGAATCCATGAAATATTTATTAATTTATATAGAATAATCTATTGAAAAACATTATATTATTGTGAAAAAAAACTAGTTAATTAATTAATTATAATGAAAAACATAAACATTATACTCCACAACGGCATCTCCAGTTTTAATATCAAGTGTATGAGTTTTCGCCTGAGCATAGCCACGGGAAAATCGGAAAACCCCACTGCCGCCGACGATCGGCATCTCCCTCACTGTCGAAAACACCGTGTTTCGGCCCAAAATGCTTAGTGCGCTACCATTAAATTTCCCTTCAGTGAAAGCAAAATTCAACACCATCAATAAGCCAAGTTCACTTTGTGAGGCTGATGCATAAATCCCTTGAGCCCTTCCCACAACCTTGGAGCCGGGCTCCGGCGCTTCCGTCAATGCGTCATCCATCACGTTCACGGCACCAAAAGCCGTTTGCGAGGAGTTGGTCACGGCTGCCTGAGCCACTCTCACGGCGCTAGGCTTAGGGCCGCTGACAATATCATGGAAGTAAAAATGAAGATGAGTTAATTTCTCTTCTTTCAATCCAAGTTTTTCAGGAGCTAAGACTTCAGAAAATTGATCAGCAATGGTGAAGGTTGAGATTATGAGAAACGTCAAGAAAATTATGCAGGTTTTCGCCATTCTTAATTTCTCTCTTTCGACCCTGTGATTGTTTTCTTTGGCTCACAGCATTTTATAATAAATGCATGTGATTACGGGGAGGATATTACATGCTAAATTTGGGCTTAATTTTACAATTTTAGGATGAATTTGTTTTAATAGAACGATATTTAACAAATTGGACAATATTATTGACAATATCGGAGTATTTATCCTTTCTACTATTTGATTAATTTGAATAACGATATGCACGAATGAATTTCTAAAATTGTCTCTACTTTCTTTTTCTAAGTGATCATAATTAAATATATTATTATATAATATATTTCATATAAATTTTATAATTAAGATCCAATTATATATGTACCCTGATTTGATAAAATTAATACCACGACGTCTTAATAAGAAAATATCCTATATACAGTATATCTATAAAGGAAGATTTGGGAGCACTATTTTTTTTTAAACAATTTATGAACCATTGGATCAATGAACTTTGAGTGGTTGAGATTCAATATAATTTGCATAATTAATGCAAATTATAATTTTCCTAATTTATATAAAATCTCAACTATTGAAATGTATTAATGATATCATTAATTATGTCAAAACTTTTAAATAATACTTCCGAATTTTTCCCATATATATAAAATCCACTTTAAAATAGTCAAAGAGCAAGGAAGTCGATTCTTATTCAATTGAGCCTGGTCGTCACGCATAATTAACGTAATTGGAAAATAATTCTATATGCCAACAAGTCAAGGGTTGGAAACAATCCAGTTTTAAAAAACACGAAAAACAAATTAATTTCTTAACTGTTAACCACAGTGGAAGAGTTATAAAGCCACATTCAAACAGCCTGCTAAGGCAGTAGCACCCATTTAATATTAGCAATTAATTACTGTAAATTTTTTTGACTCGTTTTCTAGTATCGGTCGTTTGTGAATATAAGTTAATTGGTATTTAAAAAAAAAAATGTATAAAAAATAAATATGATAATAATAAAAATTACAATTGAAGATCTAAATATATAATTGAGAATCGAATTAACTAATGGAGATATTCCTGAGAGTATCACAAAGTTTGTTGATTTATTCGACTTTTTTTTAATTATATTTCTGTATCTTTGTGGATATAAGTTGTACGTTAAAGGACGTTAAATTATTGAATATATTATATGATTGGTAAATGATTATTTTTTATGTTATTAATCTTAATATTTTAAAACATTTCATACTTCTATAATCATTTTTAAGAGCTTTTGTTGGAATATATATAGCCATGGAACAAACCGAAACTACCAGTTGCCACTAGGGCTGTGCAAAAAAAGTTCGAACCTGGTACCCGAATGGAAAAAAAACCAGATACGTAGAAATTCAGTTCGGTTTTGGGTTGTATCAAGACGAAAGTTGTCTATATGAACTCCGAGGGATGCACATCTTGTTTTCTTTAAAAAGAAAACCTTCTTGCCTAAAGTATCTCTCAAAGGAACCTTGAGAGCATGCTTGATAGATAGATGAAAAGTCCAGATCTTCAAGATAGAGTTCTCTCATCATATCAAAGCTGAGCAATCTTGCATCTAGCACATGAAGGAGAAAATGTCTATGTTGAAGTAAAGACTAAAACGACATCACTTTGAGGCTTAAATGAAACGCTGCGTTTTGAGACAATATGAGTTGAATCCTGGCCATTGAACAAGTTCAGATCCAACGGCTGCGAATTGTCAAAGGAGTCAACGGTATATAAGTGGATGAATAGTTGAAATCAGGGTTAAAACAATCGGGTTTTTCTCTTCTGAAAAGTTTATTCTGTTCTCTGTTAGGGTTTACACAAATTCTAGGAAATCTTTGTAACTTGGGTAGATTGGTTAAGTGTTCAGTCAATCAGGAGAGTCTTTTTCTCTTGTGCTTTGAGGATTCCTGGTGAGTTTCCTTAGGGTTAGTTACTGAGTGATTTTCGTGTAGATCAGTGAGGATGTGATATTGATTTGTACTGGTTACTGTTTGGATCTTGTTCTAATAGTAGTGCCGTGAGCTCTCCCATTTCTGGAGCTCAACGTGGACGTAGCGTATCCAATCTGGATAAGTAAACCACGGTAAAACTTGTGTTATGTGTTGGTTTTGATTTCTTGTGATTGTGTGTTCTGTTAGTTGATTTGTGTTTATCAGTTTATTACAACAGTGGTATCAGAACTAACAGACGTTAGGATTGATTGATTTGTTGGATCACTGGTGATCTAGGGTTTTCTAGAAGAACTAGGGTTTGTCAAGATTTGGGGCTTTTCAAATTGGGTCTTTCCTTGGTGATCTAGAGTCCTTGGGTTAAAGATTCAAGTTGTCAAATCGTCATTTAAGGAAGTTCTTTGAAGATTTGGGTTCGTGTCTTAGCAAATCGCTTAAGAATCCATTCGTCAATATTGTCTAGGGTTTCAATAAGGGCTTCTTGAAACATAGTCAATTTCTAAACACAAATATGACAACCACACGATTGGAAATCACTCAATACAATGGAAAGATTGATTTTGGGAGTTGGAAGAAGAAGATGAAGGCGCTACTTTCTCACAACAAGGTGGGGATTGCCCTAGAAAATGACGTATCTAAAAGGCCAGAAGAGAAACTAAGGAAGAAAGATGAGATCAACGAGGAAGCGTACAATCTCATAGTGATGAACCTATTAGATAATGTCCTGTGGAAGGTAGACGGGCTAGAAACTCCTTTAGCCCTATAGGGTAAACTCGAAACCTTTTTCTCTTTACAGTCTGCACCAAATCTAGCATTTTTGAAGGGTGCCCCATTTTCGTACAAAATGGATAGTGCTAAGTCGATTGAGGACAACCTAGATGAATTTAAAAAAAATGACTCTAATCCTTAAAGGAATTGATCAAGAACTAGGGGACACCAGCTTAGCAATGATCGTATTGAATTCATTAACCAAAGAATACATAGTAGTAAAGAACGCTCTACAGTATTCAGGGACTATGCCTAGTTTAGACTTGATAGTTGTAGGACTTAAAGCTAGGGAATTAGAGCTAAAGGTCTAGAAAAGATCAGGTAGCAATCTGTTTGTAAGAAGTAGGCCAGGCAGGAAAAATTAACCATTATCAACAGGGGTCTAAGAATAAGAAAAAATGGAAGGGTAATAATAAAACAAAATCAGACACTAGGAAGTGATTCTTCTGCAACAAACCTGGTCATATCAAGAGGAGCTGTTTTGATTGGTTAAAGAAACAAAAACAAGGAAACACTGAAAGTAACTTGGCCTCTAGCAAGAACCAACTGGATGAGCCTGGGGTCTTGACAGCGTCAAAATTTGACACTACTAAGGAATGGCTCCTGGACTCAGGATGTTCCTTCAATATGAGCCCAAACAAGAACTTGTTTCAAGACTTAGAATCACATGAAAATGAGACAGTCTATATGGGTAACAATCAGGCTTGTAGGGTTAAAGGAATAGGAAGTGTAACCCTTAAACTAATTGATGGAAAGCTGGTAAAATTAACCAAGGTTAGGTATATACCTAATTTAAAAAGGAATCTCATCTCCTTAGGGACCCTAGATGAGGTTGGATGTTCTTATAAGGCTAACAATGGATGCTTGTATGTGTATAAAAATCAGAACTTGGTTCTTAGAAGGGAAAAGAGAAATGGTCTTTATATACTATGTGGAGATTTTCATCCTGAATGCTTCAATACTGTATTGCCTTCCACCAAACAGACTGTAACTAAAAAATGGCACCATTGGTTGGGGCATATGAGTCAGAAGGGTATGACTATCCTTAGTAGTCAGGGGGTGTTTGGTAGGGCACTAAACCTAGAATTCTGTGAAAACTATGTGTTAGAAAAACAACACAGACTGAGTTTCTCAAAGGGAACTCACTTAGCCACAAATTGCCTAGAATACTTACACTCTGACCTCTAAGGACCTGAAAGGATTAAATCCCATGGTGAAAACAATTACTTCTTATCTATAGTTGATGATTATAGCAGAAAAGTTTGGACATTCCTCCTAAAGACCAAAGATCAAGCTTTGACAAAGTTTAGGGAGTGGAAAGTACTAGTAGAAAACCAGCTAGGTAAGAAAGTAAAGACCTTACGAACAGAAAATGGGCTTGAATTCTGCAACACTGAGTTTGATAACTTCTGTAGAGAACATGTCATTCTAAGGCATAGAACTATAGCTAGGATCTCTCAATAGAATGGGGTGGCAGAAAGGATGAATAGAACCTTACTAGAAAATGTTAGGTGCCTTTTATTTACTTCAGGGTTACCAAACACATTTTAGGGGGAAGCTTTAGCTACTACAACCTACCTTGTAAATAGAAGCCCATCCACTACCATTACTGGGAAATGCCTAGAAGAGATCTGGTCTGGAAGAAGACCAGAGTTAAGTCACCTAAGAATATTTGGGTGTGCTGCTTATGCACATACTGTGGGAGGGAAACTTGAGCCTAGGTCCTCCAAATGCATATTCCTAGGTTACCAAGAAGGCACAAAAGGGTACAAATTATGGGATAAGGAGACTCTTGGGGTAAAGATCATAGTAAGCTGAGATGTAGTGTTTAATGAGAGTGAATTCCCTTGCAAAGCTTTAGCCACTGATCAAGGAATCATCAGAAACACTGAAACTTCTCCCAACCCTATAGGTAGTACACAAATTGAGGTGGAGCCTCAGACATAGCAAGTTAACCCTACCCAACTAGATTCAGACCCTCAAACTGAAGATGAAATGGATCACCTCGAACCTGGTCAACTAGAAGAAGAAATTACTAATGAAATCCTAGAACATCAACCAGTTGATCTACAATAGTACCAACTTGCAAGGGACAGAACCAGGAGAGAGGTAAGGCCACCTGTATGCTATTCTTATGCCGAACTAATTTTCACTGCTTTGCTTGCAGGTACAGAAGTCCAAAGAACAGAACCTGAAACATATGTTGAGGCTATGAAGTCTAAAGACAAAGACAAGTGGGAAGCAACAATAAGGGAGGAGATGCACTCACTAGAGGTAAACAAAACCTGGTCT